ATACTCAGTACAACTACAGTACATTGTTAGTCCTGGAGGAGACAACATTGCTCAGTCAGGTGAACTGTCACATTTTATTGGTTCTCTCTACAGAGATTTTTTTCTTGTTGTGAACAATAAGCATTGCAAAGCATGAATAGTTTTTGTAAAAGAACTACTCTTGCCATCACTTTGTGGATAAGGGCTCAATCTTTGCCTCCATTCTTTTTCACATTATTCCTTTGGAACAAATATAGCCAAATGACTCCAAAAGATGATGATTGGAGTATGGTGAATGTCCTGGTTGCAATTGTGAAGTGTTGTTCTCTTAAGAAAATTATTTTAAGATTATTTCCATTTTAAAAGTTGACTAGAAATCTTTTGGTCAATTTTCTCTGTAGGTGATCTTGGTGAGTTTCTGCCTGGGAGGATGAACAAAAGAATTGCATTTCAGGAATCATTAAGGTTATAAATACCCTGTTTCCCCAAAAATAAGACCTAACCTGAAAATAAGCCCTAGTATGATTTTTCAGGATGCTTGTGATATAAGCCCCAGCCCAAAAATAAGCCCCAGTTAAATGAAACCCCATCCTCCACCATTGTGCAGTAACCAGACAAAAATTACATGACTGTATTTGAATAAATGTAGACTGTGGTGCTTACTTGTGAGTAAACCCACACATTTTGCAGCCCTTACTCATGAGTAAACCTGTGCCTTTGGCAGCCATTATTCATGAGTAAACCCGCACCTTCGACCCCACCCCACTCTCACCGACACCCTCCTACCTTAATTGCCGGTGCTGAAGTGTTTGGGCCTCAGAGCCACGCATGTAGAAATGGAGACTGCCTGCCCTTTGCAAAGATGGCAGTTGCAGCTTCCCTACCCTAAATGAAGCTGCATCCACCATCTTTACAAAGGGCAGGCAGTCTCCATTTCTACATGTGTGGCTCCGAGGCCAGAAGACCTCAGCAGTGGCAATTAAGATTAAGATTATGGTGGTGGGGGGACCCCCACAGTGCTTTCTGAGGCCTCCAGAGGCTTGGGAAGGCAGCGATAGTGGCAGGGGGGATTCCCAGGAGGCTTTGGACCGGTAAGGTGCTGCTTTTTATTTATTTTTTTAAAATGTTCTGGTTGGGTTTGGGAGGGTAGGTTTGGGCTGGGGGGGTATGTTTCTATGTTGCTTTGGTTTTTTGTGAGGTTTTTTTGCAGTCCCAGCATGGGACTTCCACTGTTTATTTATTTAATTGCCCACCCCTGATACAGAGGAATATTTTTCCTGTTTTCCTCTTCTAAAAATTATGTGTGTCTTATGGAGCGAAAAAAACAGTAATAAGTGGGCTGCCTCCATCAGTACCCAGCTCATTAGGGATAATGGAGGCTTTTCCAGAATCTTCACTTAGTGTTCTGTGTGAATACAGCAACTGTCATTTTCTCCACCGTTAGCGTTTAGGGATGGAAGTCTTTTTAATTTATTTTAGAAGTGCCACGTTAGAATTGATGAATACACATATTGGTATACTAACATTAAATCTCCCACAGTATGGGTTAGGGACATAGAATACATTGACTTAGGTGAGAAATTGTCCCTTGATGCACTTGCAATACTGTGCCAGTGCAAGCCCCCCACCCCACCCCTTTCTTAGGTTCACTTTGGTTCTTCCAGCTCATCTCTATAGCTTATAGATGACTTCCAAGTAACCCAGTTGTCCATGTGACCAGAGATTACACTTTCTTTGGGTTCCATCCATGTTAAGAGATGGGTAATTCTTTCCACATTATAGTCCTGGTATTCTCTGCGATTTGTAAAAAAAATCCACAGATGTTCTGAAGAAAATCTTTCTTTGGTTTTAATCTGGGAGCAGCAGAATAGTTGAAAGTGAGTTTACCACATAGAGCAGGAATAGAGAGTTTGTGGCCCCTCTGGATGTGCTTGAAGTTTAAACCCTGTCATCCATGACCATTGTCCTGAACTGAGCAAAACTGGAGTCCAAGAATATCAGGGGAGCCACAAATTCCCTATCTCAGCATAGAGCACATTCTGTGACAAATGTCTACTTAAAGGAGCATTTAACTGCCTGCCTTTTTCAAATCTCTGTACGTTATCATTGATCCAAGTATATCTGATATAATTCAGAATGGTTTCCGATCTTTTCCACAGATTCCATAAGTTCACCTTGAAGTTACTAGGATGATCATTCTATCTGGGGGAGGGGGGGAATAGTTTTGTCCTGCTGATTGGGTTTACAGTGGCCAAAACTTAACCAGTTTACACGTATCTGAAATGACATTGTAAGCTCTGTGGAGAAAAAGCATGCTCAGTTGTATCTATGCTCTTCTTAAGCTAGTAAAGAACAGATTTTAAAAAGACAAATGGTAGAATGAGAGAATTATTTTGCAGCTTTTGTGAAAATTAATCTGTTGGATTCTGTGTAGAATCAATGTTCCTGCATGCTTCAATCCCCACAAAGATGAATACGCAATAGATCAGCAGTCTGTATATCTAGACTGGCATTACATTTATTGAACAACAGTTACATGCTATTGTCCTCTTCTTCCATTTAGTATTTGTGTGGACTGAGATTAAGCAAGCACCATACCACTTCTTAAATTTCCTGAGGTATTTCTCTTCCCCAGTCACAGAAACCATTCATGAGATGCCTTGCTGTTCTCTATGGAGTAATTCTGAATGAGAATCACTGTTCTCATCCCAGAGTGAGAAAGTGGTATTTTCTGTGGTTCAGGACATGTGATTCACTTGGTAAATTGGGATGTGTTTGTGTGTAGGTCTTTTATGGATATTGAATGAAGAAAGAAAGAGATTTTGGAATAGATTTCCCAGTTGGGCAGCTAAGATTTTCCATTAGCCTCAGACTTGAGGGCTGTTTTGCCATTATGCTTTTGGCACGTTTGTCCTAGACACACATTATATAGTCAATGTGACTGTAAATGGAATAGGAACTGTCTGTAGCATATTTTCAGTAAACAGGATGCATGAGACAGCCATGAGCTAGGATAGTGCTGGTAGTATGGTACTGTAAAGTTTACTTATTTCCTCAGCTGCAGATTATCATCAGGTGACTGTCTTGCAATTGGAATGGGATGGGGGAAATATTCGTCTGGTATGCCTTGAAGTCAAGAATTCTTTGTGCATAAAGTATGAAATTGGATGGATATATGGATGGGTGGGTGAACAGATGGATGGATAGTTTGCCCATCATTTTGTGAGTAGTTATTTTCTCTGTGTCTGCACTCATATACTCAGTTTCTCTGTCCTCAGATTCAAGTCTCTTAAAAATCCTACTAAACAGTAAGCTCTAATTACTAGTTTATCTGTAGAGGAGAGCAAAGTAAAGGAGCAGACAGGTTTATCAGTAGAGGAGAGCAAAATAAAGGAGCAGACAGACACAAACCAGTCCTCTCAGCACCAACAACCTCCAAAGTGCTAGGACTAATAACAGTTTCATTGTATTTTCTATGTGTGGGTCAGGGACCTCAGTCTTAAATCCAGTGTTGACCTGGTAGACATCCACTTGCCTATAGGGACTTCTTCCACTCCCTGCTGCAGATCTCTGCCCCATCCAGTAACTGCTCTAATGACTTCCAAAGCCTCTGGAGCAGACTTTGAGGATGTGAAGGGCCATTGCCCCTCCTCACAGTCGTACTAATGGCAGATGCTCCATCAGTGGATTGACAGTGCTCGGCTCCAATGCTAAGTAATGTGGCCAGGTGAGCTTAAAATCATGTAAGAAGGTGTTGACTTTTAAAGGACTACACCAAATGTAATTAGCATTAAATTAATGCTTTAAATGTTTGAGAAATGTGTGGCTGTGTTAATACACAGTGCTTAGAAATATATGAAGTGTAAACAAACATCTAGAAGTACAATTTGAGTTGAATGTCCTCAAAATATAACTGAAAATCTTGCTTGGATGCTTGCAAAATTATTTGTTTGCATAACTGGTTCGTTATTTGAATGCAAAGCTAAAGAAACTTCTGCCCATCACATTCAGAAATGAGAGATACTTTAAAATTTGTATAAAAGATTATGTGAACCCTAGACTCATTTTTTAAAAATTATTATCCCATCTGATTTACAAGATTTATATCTGTTTGTAAATTTATTATATGTTGTCTGGTTTTGACAACAGTAGAGAAGGAAGCAGCTGTAGACCCAGCAACAATCTAACCTTGATGTATTCATCAAGCATAATAAGCACACAGAAGGGGTTGTGAAGGTCTGTATACACTTTGATTTTCTAGTTAAAAGGGTTCTTTTGTGTTGCTTCTGGAGTTTCTTCTTCAGTTCTAATTAAAACACAACAGACCTCTGTGTTTTGAAGCTGGACTTCCTTTTCCTTCAATCAGTTTCCTTTTCAGAAAAGTGAGGATGTAAATTGAGAGCTCCAGTTAATGATGACGACTATGGTGAGAGGAAACCCAAATTGAATAAACAAATATTTCAGGTTATAGTAGTGGATGGCAATTCCATATACAGAGACATGTGTTTTTCTTTATTCAGCCACCTAAATTAAATTGTCAGGAGGTAACAGGTACTCAGAAAGAATATGAAAAAATAGGCTTAAAGAAAAAGTACAGTATTGACCCCAGTTCCTCTTTCTAGGTGGCACCCATACCTCCTTTTCTCTGTTTGCTATTTCAGTGCCCCTTGATTCAGTCTCTCTCCTGCTGCTTTCATACAGCTTTGCTCCTCAGTCACTTCTTTTTGTGTGGGAGGGCTCCCTTTATATTCCTTTCAGTGCCTCTCAATGATTATTCCTTCTATATCCTAGAATAACTAGCTATCTTATTGTTAGACAAGGTTTTCTCTCACTGCTTTGCTGTGCTTCCAGACAAATTATTCTTTCCCCCACCCCCTGCGGGGTGTGTTTGTTTTGTATTTAAAGAGTAGTTGTGCATTTTTCTAGTAATCTGTTGTGTTGCCATGAGGTGACAGGATTTTATTATGAATGTTCTTTCTCCTCACCCTTTTTGGCAACTAATACTTGACCGTATATTTCAGGCCCAACACAGAGATGTTTTCATTGAGGAACGATATGGAAAATACAACATTAGTGACCCACTGATGGCTCTTCAGAGAGATTTTGAAGCAATGAAAGAAGAAAATTATGGTGACAGGCAGCCTGTTTGCACCAGTCCTTTGTCCATTCTGAAGGTAGTTATGAAACACTGCAAGAATATGCAAGAGAAAATGTTGTCCCAACTAGCTGCTGCAGAGAGCAGACACAGAAAGGTGGGTTGCACATCTTTTAAACTATGTTCAAAGAAATTACATTGTTCCTGGCTCGGATTTGTTATAGCAGAGTGACATTGTCTTCTGTGTAGTTTAAGATACTTTAGGTTTTGCTAGCCATGGATCCTAGAGTTGAAATCTAAAAAATCTGCACAGCCAATGATTTATTAGACAATTATTTTTAGTTTGAACTGTTGTTTCAGTTTAAACCATGGTTATGTATGTTGTTTCAGTTCTCAAACATTAGCTAGTTAAATGGTGCGTCTCTTTGGTACAGCTGAAAAATCATGTGACTAGTGGCACACCTAGTTTGGCAACCAGTGCACAACCAGTTACACAAAGGAGAACATTCTAGAGGACAGGGGAAACATTTAAATAATTTACACCATTGCATAGATTAATAGAATTCTGGCCAAATTATTAATCTGAGTAATGAATCTGCAGTGTGGAGTTGTGGGCCGTGGGGGGGCACGATCTCATTGTCCTACTGGACAAGATGTTCACATACCTCTTATTATACTTACCTGCAAGTGAATTTCAGTACACATATGTGTGTGTGTGTGTGTGTGTGTGTGTGTGTGTGTGTGTTCATTTGTTAGAAATGAAAATAAAATCACATTGTACTATGAAAAACTGTGCTGGATTCCACCTTTTCACAGAGCCTAGAAATAGGTTTCTGCTAGTGCTGTAGTACTTGTAGAGTGTAATGATACCATTAGACGAACTAGTCTATATAAACTAAGTATTGCTGTGCAATTGTGTATGTTGTTGTTAGCACCTACTTCACAAGGCTAAACTTAAAATATCACTGAATTTGGATGTGGGAAACCATGGGATCAAAGGTTTTATGCACAATTTTGTCATTAATTAAAGGTCAAGGGTTCTAGTAACTGCTTAAATGTTTCACTTAAATATTTGCTTTGGGCAGAAAGGGGTTTGGGCAGCACATGCTTAGTTTTCATGTATTTAAAGTTGATTTACAGTTCTCTTTCTTGGTTGAAAGGTAATTTTGGATCTTGAAGAAGAGAGACAACGGCACGCCCAAGATACTGCTGAAGGCGATGATGTCACATACATGCTGGAAAAGGAGCGAGAGCGGCTCACACAACAGGTAGATCTTCTCACAACTTAGTTGTCAGGGAGGAGTGATTAATTACTATTCATATGCTGTATGCAGGTGGCTATGGCTGGTAATCTGTATCTTTGCAAGGAAGTAGATTTGCAAGATTAACATTTTTATTATATTTATTTCTGGGAAGCAGTAGATTTCCTACTTTGTAGACGTGGAAGAAATGGCTCATCTAAAGCAACTTCTTATGACTATTATTTGAATAATACTTATTTGTTAGATTTATATCCCGTCTTTCTTCACATGAGATCAAAGTGGCATCCATGCCTGTCCTCACCATATTAGCCTCACAACTGTGCTATGAGGTAGGTCGGGCTGAGAAAGCATGACTGGCCCACCACGACCCAGAAGAGTTTGATGGCCAAGAAAGGATTAGAACTCAGCTCCCTTGTGTCTTAATGTGACACTACTATACCACAGTGATTATTTTAGAAGTATTTTGCACACATTATCATTGCTTTATGAATAATTTGTGTATTCCATAATCTTGCATTTCTTTGTAGGCACTTCTGGTAATACAGGCTATTAATAAATCTGGTTTATCCTTACATGTATTCTTTATTAGTAACTGACATAACTGATTTTAATTTTTTGTGGTTTGTGAAGTGTGTGTTAAACTACTTCACTGTTTTATTTCTGAGCTCCTTTTCCTTTTCTTCTAGCTGGAATTTGAAAAGTCCCAAGTGAAGAAGTTTGAGAGAGAGCAGAAAAAGTTATCTAGCCAGTTGGAGGAAGAACGTGCACACCATAAGCAGCTGTCTTCAATGCTTGTGCTTGAGTGCAAGAAAGCCACGGCTAAAGCTGCAGAGGAAGGACAGAAGATTGGGGAACTAAGCATGAAGCTGGAGAAGGAAAGAGTCAGAGTGAGCCAGTTGGAGGAGGAGCTAGCAGCCAAAAAGAAGAGGAGTTTACAAATGGAGGCCCAAGTAGAGAAGCAGTTATCTGAGTTTGACATTGAACGAGAGCAGCTGAGGGCTAAACTGAACAGGGAAGAGAATTGTACAAAGGCCCTGAAAGAAGAAGTTGAAAGTATGAAGAAAACACTAAAGGAGCTGGAGGCTTCTTGTAAAGTTGGCAGTAACAAAGTTGAGCATACACCACTAGATGTCACAATGGTATCCGTAGCAACTGTTACAGAGTGCCTTTCAGGTATATCAGTTGCTTGCCAAACAGGAAGTTACTTGCCAGAGAGCATCAGCCAGGGAAATGCTGTCAAACAGGCACATATGTTAACACCCATCTCTGCCATCACTCCCCACCCTTATGCCAAAGCAAACGGGCATTGTGATGTTAATGTTCAAACAAATGTGGAGCCAGCTCAACCCAGCGCAGAAAGCCCACAGAAGTGCAAGCTTGTTGGAGCAGCTGCTGAGAGTACCATGGAAAACAGTGGCTTTTCTGTAAGAACAGAGTCCATTTCTCCTTCAATTCCACCACTCCCTTCCAGTGGGATATCCTTATCTCCAAGCAATACTGCTTCTTCTTCTCTGACATCTTCCCCATGCTCCTCCCCTGTCATGACAAAGCGTTTGGTTGGAGCATCAGCCAGCAGCCCCAGTTATCAATCTTCCTACCAGGTAGGAATCAATCAGCGCTTCCATGCTGCTCGTCACAAATTCCAGTCCCAAGCTGATCAAGATCACCAATCTAGTGGCCTCCAAAGTCCTCCGTCCAGGGACCTGTCACCCACCCTTGTTGATAATTCTGCTGCAAAGCAGCTTGCCCGCAACACAGTCACTCAGGTTCTTTCCAGGTTCACCAGTCAGCAGGGTCCTATCAAGCCAGTTTCTCCTAACAGCTCACCCTTTGGCACAGACTACCGAAACCTGGCAAATGCCGTGAGCCCAAAAAGTGAATCTAGCCCAAGCAAAGTCTCTAGTCCATTGAGTCCATTGTCACCTGGAATTAAATCACCAACCATACCTAGAGCAGAACGAGGGAATCCTCCGCCAATTCCTCCAAAGAAACCTGGTCTGGCTCCTTCTCCAGCCACTCCCACTCCACCGACTAAAACCTCTCAAGCTGCTTCCCTTGGTTCTCCTGTGGACTTGGCAAGTACTTGCTCAAGCAATGCTGTTGTAGCTAATGGGAAAGAAATTGAGATCTTATTGCCAACCAATAGCTAGTTTCTGGGAAAAGTCATATTCTGAGTGTTTGCCATTCCTCATGCTGAAACATTGTCTTATCCACTCCATGTTATTTATTTGGGTAGTCACAAAAATCTGTTTGTATAATCCATTCAGTGTACTTTTTGTTTCATAATGTGTAGAAAGTAATACAACTTGTGTACAAACCTTTAAACACCAGAGCCTCAAAGTGTTGCCTAGCAGCAGGCACATTGAACAAGGAGAAGCAGTTGATTTCCTACGCTGGGAGCTAACTAGTGGACTATGACTATGGAACAGTTTTTTTTAATTATGCAGGAAAAAATACACCGTGCAAACTTCCATTCCAGACAGACATTTTCTAAGAAGTGCCTGAGCTTAAGTCTGCAGATATGAATGTGATTCTCTGCAAAACCGAGATTCTCCAGCTGCAAAAAGTAGTTTTTCTGAATCATGAATGTTGAAACTAATACTGTTCTTAATCCTTTCCAACAGTTTGCTACAGAAAGGAAATGTTCCAAAGGTGATCGCTATACCGGTCTGTTGTTTTCCTCCTATAAAAAGAGTCAGTTGATGTAGCTGCATTTTCAGGTGGACTTTGGCCCCATTGCTGAGCTTTATGCAACTCTCTCTTTTCCTGTGTTTAAGAAAAAATTTTGGGAGCTTTAAACAGACTACCAGTTGCTTCCAGTGAAGTATCTGTTCCTTGAATATTTCTCTCCAGTAGAGGCAAAATAAGTAAGATGAAATCTTGAAGTGCTGGCTAAATTTTTAATATTCTTCATGCATTCTACTGTCATGTGTAGAACTTCTGATAAAGATCTTACTATTACTTGAAATGAGAAATAACTATTCAGTTCTACACAGGTTTTTGTATTGGAAAAGGTTGGATCCATTCTAGATGATCCAAAGCAATAACTTATACGTTGCTCACTATGTAAGAATATTGTCTATTGAACTGACACAGATTTTGCAAAGTTGACAACTGTCTTCTTGGCATCACTGTGCAAACCAAAACATTACTTTTTACCATGCAGATGCATATATATGTATGTATATATAGGGAGAGAAAGGGTATACATGTTAAATACACAGCACTCTTAGTGTGATACATTATTGAAACACTTCAGAAAAAAAAAGAAAATGAGGGAATACACTTTTTAAACTACTTTTTAAAGTTTATCTGTTTTATTAATGAAATCTTGTTTTCCTAGGAAAGGTAATCAGTAATATGGGCCATTTAAAAAGGGCTAAAGCAGAATTTTCTCCTTATTGAACTTCCTGTGCATTTCTTACACCTTTTTGATAGATGTTTCTTCTGTCTGTGAACTGAGAATTATGTATTTTTTCAAAAATGGTGCTGCTTTGCCCCAAAAATACTTTAAGAGTGAACTCAAGTTTCATTTTAAAAACTGAATGTCTCTACTCTAACCTTGAGTAAAAGCATTTCAGTACATCCCCAGAATTAATATGTAGAAACGGACACTTCATCATTCTTACTGTACAAACTACAGGATCTTGTCACAACATGAGTGCTTGCTGCTTGAGACCCTGGATCAGGGACAGGGAATGTGTATCCCTCCTGATGTTTGCTAGGCTGCAGCTTCCATGAGCCCTTGTCACAGTTGCCCCTGGGGAAGAATGATAGGATTTGGGCCACATGTTCTCCGTTGCTGCAGTAGACCAAATCTACTTATAAAAAGATAATGTTTCTTCAGAGCATGACTATCAGTGGTCTAGCCTTTGGTCTTACCCTACCTAATTTTCTTTATATGGAACTCCTAGATTCAAGGATTTTAGCAAGTAGCTGAAATTCCTGAGATTGCTATTATTAAGCACGCTGACATTGACATCCCCCTCTCAATATTTGTCAGTGTACCAGGATTCCCCTTGGCCCTTGTACTGACCGTGTTTGATTACTGCTAGCAGACAGATAGGATATGACTCTGATAAGCACACAGTCTCTTCATTTGTGCAGTATAGGTTTCAGTAACGGCTGCATAACTGAAAGCTGGTTGAATGGTTTTTTCTTAATTTTGCTTTTGTAGCAGCCCTTAAAGTATTTCCTTGTGTTTACACTAATCCTTATCTTTTCTTTATGATATGACTCTATAGAGATTTATATACAGTAATGAATTTTATTAGGAAATGCACTGAGTACTGTATTCTACAATGGATTGTGGGAAGGGAGAAAGCAAGAGGAGATATGTATTTTTGCTAGTAGCCTATCTTCTAAGATTAAACTAAGCACAATATCACAAATGGTTCCAACTAATCCAGTAACACTTCTAGGGTTAGTATTTAAGTTTTATGTAGACTTGTGTGTATAGAAACAAAATGTTTAATCCTCTTTGAATCAAGTATTGCTAGAGAGGTTTGTCACTGGCTAACAGGATTTTAATGACATTCAAGCTACATAATCTAGTATTAATTTTCATTAACATCTGTATATTTGTAAAGTCAAATGTATGAAGCAGAAGTCTTATCATTTTTATAGCTGGCAGCATTAAACACGTTAAATGTTCATACTATCAATAAAGGGTTTTATTTTTATGAGTTAAGTATTGTACAAGAACATATTTTAAAGGTAGGTATGGGTTCATATATGCGCAAAGCTTCTACTAGATATTCATGATGTTTTCAGTAGTGGTGCATTTCATTATCCTTGGGAGGTCTACATTGGCACACCACATATGGAAGAATGACTAATATTGTAATCTCTTACTGCTGGCCAGGCTGGTTTGGACTGACAAGAATTGGAATAAAATATATCTGAAGGATGAGAGGTTCCCAAGCACTGATCTGCATATCAGAAAATATGCCCAGGCTTCCAGTAGCTCACAATATAGGGACAGTATTTTAGAAGGCAAAATAGGAAAGCTATTAATACTCGGTAGCAATGCTGTGAATATTTATCCAAATATATTCTTGTTTTAAGGGCAAAACATTGTTGCCTAGTCCAGTCATGCAATCATCTGTAAATTGAGTGGTTCTGCTTTTTCAGAGCTTGTGCAGAGATGTATCCAGTACCTTTTTGCAGAAGTGTAAGCCCTATGGGCAATTCATGTCAGTTTGTATTACACCAATGTAAAGAGACAAGATGATTTGGGCCATAACATGCTTGAACCTAAAATACTTGGATCATGTAATGAGAAACAAACAGTAAAAATTGTTGCAGCTCCTCATTCAAAGCAAAATACATGGGGAAAGTTCAGTACAGGAATGTAAGTCTTTAAAACCTTGGAGACTGGTTTCAGTGCATCAGAACAGCATTGTTAGAACTGCCACATCCAAAGTCAGAATAATTGTGTACTGTTGAGACTGTTCTGTCTTATGGCAACCCTTCTGAGGATTTTCTAGGTATAGAGTATTCAGAAATGGTTTACCATTCCCTTCTGGGGTTTGCTGTGAGACCACATAGCTTACCCAAGGTCACAAGGGCTGGCTCTTCTCCCTGGAGGTGAAGTGGGGAATTCAAAGTGTTGTTTGCATAATTATGTTGTAGACTGTCCTGAGATTGCTTTAGCATGATGGAGCAGTATATAAATCAAAACAATAACTATTCCCAAGAAGACACCTGGTTCACTGAACAATTCAGTCAACACCATAGTCAAAACAAGTCATGATGGCATCTTACCTCAGAGGGAGAAAAGTACTAGGAATGTGTTCAGTAGGAGTATCTTTAAGTCAGTGAATGTTATCCGCAACTTAGGTCTATTTCTGAGCAATCAATTAAACCAGAAATGATATACAAGTAGTTTGTAGGAGCCACAGGTGGAAAGACATGGTTGGAACAGTTGGCTAATTCATGCACACACCTAATGTAATTTTCCCCTCCTTGAGGACAAGGTTATGGGGTGGAGACAGATCTGCCTTGTGCAAAGCCCTCACCCCAGTTTGGAATGCTGTGAAACATTATTTACAACGTGTTAAGGTTCCACCCACTACTGTCTAATACACTGTGCTCACTTCAGTAAGCATATTATTCTCACCGTTGCCAGTCTACATGATCCAGTGGTGCACTTCTTGGGCTGTGATTCTTGCAAGCCTAGAGCAGCTCTGCAACCTGCTTTGAAAGTATGGGACAAAAAATAGTGGATGTTTTGATGAGTTCTGAGTCATTTCTGTCAAGAATCTGGCTACTCATTACTATGAGAGAGGAGCAATAAGGGAAAGGCTACGGCTTCTGTTTCATAACACAGAACAGTATTTTTGGCTGTTCTAATAGCAAGAGGAGGAGAAAGTGAGTAGTTTAAAGCTGTATTTGATTCCTGCCAAAGTAGCCAGTAGCTCAGTCTCCTGAAGTTAGATCAGAGCATTGACATTTTGGGATAAAAGCTTCTGCAGTTCTGAAAGGAATTTTTATTTGGAAATAGCCCAAGAAAAAATATATTTGGTCAAGCCAAATCCAGGCTTTTTTAACTCAAGAAAAAGATGTGCCCTACTACTCTGCTGTAATCCATATGAATGAATGTCTTTCCCTGTTCTTTGTGTTGTTCATTTCTTCTTCCAAACAAGCTTATATACTTGCTTGAATATATTAAGCTGATGACATCATAGTGTGCTGTCAAGTTGCTTCTGAGGGTTTTCTAAGTAGAGAGTACTTGAGAATGGTCTACCATTCCCTTCTTTTGGGGGCATCCTGGGGCTGCAGCTTGCCCAAGGCCACATAGGTTGGCTCTTCTAAGGTACACAGAAGGGAATTTAAATCCCAATTCTCTGGCTCCTCAGCCAGATACCTAACTCTGTATGCTAGGCATCCTTCAGTCTCAAAAGACTATGGTAACATGCTCTGTATGGAGGACTTGGAACAGTGTCTAGTGTGGCTGAGGAGGCCCCAGCTTTTTCAAGAAGGGGCCTTGGAGCTCCTGCTCCTTTAAAGCTATAACCCTTCCTTCCATCAGACCATGTGGTCAGGAAAATAAAGGTCCACCTAGAAAAAATGCCCCACCAAAACATTTGCCCAGACATACCTGCCCCAGCTTCTTCTTCAAGAAGGGGCCTTGGAGTGCCTGCTCCTGCTCCTTTAAAGCTATAACTCTATATATTGCAAACCTTAATTTGAGGAACCCTTTGGCTAGAGTGTTGTTCTCTTTCTATTACTTTAGTTCTGTTCATATTCAGACCAGAGCATTTGTGCAATGTTAGGTTACTCACATTTGGATCAGCTCTCTATTGCTAATGTGCATAACTTTCTGCTTGGAAAGCATAAAATTAATTATCTTGTGCCACCTTGTGTTAGAAGAACACATGTATTGGCACGCAGTTTTTAAAAGACATAGAAGGACACTAGAATTTACACTATAGTATCGCCCGATCATGCATTCGAATTTACAGATGAATAGTTCTTGAATAGTTCTTCATTTTGATGGTAACCTGTGACATTCTTAAATTTATCGAACACTCTACCTGGAGGTTGTTCTTCTCCACCTCGCCCTGACTCTTGGCTGTGAAGCATCACTACATCTTTCTGTGTAGACAGCAATTGTAGGAGGAGACTTGATCCAGAGGAAAAGAGAAGGCTTGTGAGAGCTGTATCTATAGCAAATTCCTCAAATATTCTGGATCCAAATATCAATGGGGTATCACATGCAGTTTAGGGTGGGATGTTCCAATGGATCAAGATATATATAGGTGGAAGCTCTTAATATATCAGAACATGACAATCCTGTATTGAAAGATTGATCTGGGAAATGTCTCAGCTAGAGCAGTGGTCTCCACCCTTGGAAACCCAGGTGTTCTTGGACTGCAGCTCCAGGAAACCCCAGGTACAAAGCTAGTTGTGAAGGCTTCTGGTAGTTGCAGTCCAAGAACACCTGGGGTAGTCAAGGCTGGGACCACTATGCTAGAAGAAGTCATATCTTTAGTCTGGATTTCATAGCATATTCCCCTAAATCCTCTACAGTAGTAAGAGCCTACCCATCGTGAAGGCTTCTGGGAGTTGCAGTCCAAAACTCCTGAGTAACCCAAGGTTAAGAACCAGTGTGCTAGAAGAAGTCATATCTTTAGTCTGTATTTCATAGCATATTCCCCTAAATCCTCTACAGTAGTAAGAGCCTACCCATCCCCAAAAGACAGATAAAATCCATCTTCTTGTTCTCATTTTTGGGGGGATTTGATGGGAACTGAGTTGCACTTTCATGGAAGCAAACAGTGGCTGAAGTGCCAAAGGTATATGCTTTTTAGCTTACAGATATACAAAGAAATAGGAGCTTCCGGTTCTGGCCCAGCCAGGCAACATGCTTGTGGCTAAGCAGCGGTGATTTTATCTTTATTTGATTTTATATGGTTTTATTGTTTTTATTTAGTTGAAGCTCCTATTTTACTTCCCAGCTGGAGGCATGATTTTAACCTTGGCAAAAGCAAACACAGAGATAATGACCGCTGGAGCTGCCGAGAGACATTAGAAATACCTGTTGCCTCTGTATTATACAATTGAAGCCTTGGAAAGAAAACAGGAGAAAAATGAACACACAGGAGATCCAGCATAAGCACTAATCTCCAGGAGTCGCCAATAAGCTACTCTCATCTTATGTAAGAAAAACAGAAGCCTAAAAAGAAACCTCAACCCTTTTCCCCAGTGGATAGCAAGCATCTACTTGAATCAAGTCTGCAAGAAAAGCATCTACTTTGTCTTAAGAGAAGCCATCTGCCTTTGGTGGGCTGTCTGGCACTCAGCAGCAGCCTTGATCTGTCAACCTCGTCAACTTACAGTTGGCTCACAATGAGTAAAATTCTTCCAAGGAACAGGATGGAATAACCTGCCCTTTAATGGTTTATGTTTAAAGTGCTTACTGGGGCTAAGAAGTTTTCTATACATCTGCTACTGACTGTAACTGTACAAGACATATATTCTCCCTCTGAGTGGAAGTTTATACTTGCAGAAGTAGATAGGTAAAGGTTCCCCTTGACATTTTTAGTCCAGTCGTGTCCGACTCTAGGGGGTGGTGCTCACCCCGTTTTTCAAGCCATAGAGCCAGCGCTTGTCCAAAGACAGTTTCCATTGTCACGTGGCCAGTGTGATTAGGGAACACTGTTTTACCTTCCCACTGAAGTGGTACCTATTTATCTACTCGCATGTACATGCTTTTGAACTGCTAGGTTGGCAGGAGCTGAGACAAGCAACGGGAGCTGACTCCATTGCATGGATTTGATCTTACGACTGCTGGTCTTCTGACCCTGCAGCACAGGCTTCTGCGGTTTAGCCCGCAGTGCCACCATGAAGGGAATACTAAATATGCTAAATCTGTGGAGTACAACCATGGTCATCACTAAGACCAAAAAAACCTGCAGCAAGATTTAAAAAGCTCCCAAAAATCCAAACCAAAAATCAATAGCAGAGTTCTGTGTGGCCTCAGATCTCATCAGCCAAAGTAAATATGCTTCCTCTTATAATCAAAGGGCACTGAGGGAATTTACAAGTACCCCACTCACTGTGGAGAGTGTAGGCATAAGTAATAGATATACCAGGAGGTTGCAACTGAAACTCTGCAGTCTGGAGAAGTAACCGGCAGTTTGTCTCTGGCCCCAGAACTCCTAGAGAAGGCTCTCTCTGCCTCTA